CAGAATCGCTGGCGGATGGCGGCCAGTGATCTCCGAACCCCAGGATGACAGACTAACTTAGATGAATGCCCCCACTGGAGGACTTCAGGGCGCAACACAACCGGCACAAAAAGTCTACCTTCTGGGCACCCTCTTGGCACCTCTCTCTCTCGTATGGCCTCCAGTATTCTCCTCTCCACATCCCAGGAGAGGGACCCCACCACAATTTCCTTAGGGATAATGGTTTCGACTGACGCCCCTATCCCCCCCGTATTCCTGAAAAGGCGGGAAAGGGCATCGGGTTTTACATTCTTGGAGCCTGGACGATACGAGAGAGAGAAGTTGAACCGGCCAAAGAAGAGTGCCCATCGGGCTTGACGTGAACTCAACCTCTTGGCCGAACGACATATTCCAAATTCTTATGGTCCGTCCAGACCAAGAAGGGCTGTGCTGACCCCTCCAACCAGTGGCGCCACTCACCCAAGGCCAGCCTGACCGCCAACAGCTCCCGATTGCCTACGTCATAATTCCGTTCTGCTGGGCTCAGGCGGTGAGAGTAGTAGGCACAGGGATGTACCCTCTCATCTCTAGGGGACCGCTGAGAAAGGACCGCACCTACTCCAATCTCGGAAGCATCCACCTCCACAATAAACTGACGTTCAGGGTCTGGAAACGAAAGAACAGGAGCAGAAATGAATCGGGACTTGAGGTCATCAAAGGCCCCCTGAGCTTTCGAATTCCACCTAAACGGTACCTTAGTAGAGGTAAGAGCTGTCAAGGGTGCAGCAACCTGACTAAAGTTTCGGATGAAGCGCCGGTAGAAGTTGGCGAATCCCAGAAACCGCTGCAGAGCCTTGCGTGAGTCTGGAGGTGGCCACTCGGCTACGGCCCTTACCTTAGCGGGATCTGCTTTGATCCCCTCCGCCGAAATGATATAGCCCAGGAATGGAACTGACTTGGAGTGGAAAACGCACTTCTCCGCTTTAACATACAGCTGGTTCTCCAGCAGCCGTTGTAGCACCTGACGTACGTGTTGAGTGTGTACCTGAAGTGAGGGAGAAAAGATTAGAATGTCATCCAGGTACACAAAGACAAACTTGTTAACTATGTCTCTCAACACGTCGTTGACCAGGGCCTGGAAGACAGCTGGGGCATTTGTCAGGCCAAAAGGTAGCACCCGGTACTCAGTGTCCCGAAGAAGTGATGAATGCTGTCTTCCACTCATCCCCCTCTCGAATCCGAACCAGATAATAAGCATTGCGGAGGTCCAACTTACTGAAGACCTTGGCTCCCTGCAAAAGTTCAAAGGCAGATGACATTAAGGGCAGGGGGTACCTATTCTTAATGGTAATGTCATTCAAACCTCTGTAATCAATACAAGGGCGCAAGGAGCCATCCTTCTTCTTAACGAAGAAGAATCCTCCACCAGCTGGAGATGAGGAGGGACGGATGAGACCGGCATCTAGGGACTCTCGAATACATTTGTCCATAGCCTCTCATTCTGGACCAGACAGGGAATATAAGTGACCCTTGGGCGGCGAAGTGCCTGGGAGGAGGTTGATGGCACAATCATACGGTGAGGCGGCGGGGATACGGCCCGGGACCTGCTGAAAACCTGCCGCAGACCACGGTACTCCCCCGGAACCCTGGACAGATCAGCTTCCTCCACCTGCACAACAGGAAACACAGCGCCAGGAAAAGAGGCAGAACCCAAACAAGACTTAAGACAAGACTGTTTCCAAGACAAAACTGAATTTCTGGCCCAATCCACGTGAGGACCGTGCTGCACCAACCACGGGTGCCCCAGAACCACTGGGGCACTCGGGGAATCCAGAAGGTACAGCTCGGTTATCTCATGGTGATTGCCAGAGACAATAAGACTTACAGGGGGGGTGAGGTGGGTGATAGCAGTGATAGGAGAATCATCAAGAGACCGAACAGAGATAGGAGTAGAGAGGGGGATGGCAGGAATTCCCCACTGCTCAGCCAGACCCGTGTCCATGAAATTACCACCAGCCCCCGAATCCACCAGGGCTGAACAGGAGTGACTGGAACCTCCAAACTGAATACTCACAGGAAGGGTGCGGGAACTCAGTCACGGAACGGCCCCCTTGACGTAGGCGTGCCAGCTGGGTTGCCGCCTCATCACCCCGAGCGGAACGATCAAATAACTTGACCATCTCCTGCCGAAAGTCCTCAAAAGAAGCACAAAAGGGAGCCCGGGCCTCCCACACTGACGTTCCCCAGTCACGGGCCCTGCCGGTTAGGAGGGTTAAAACATAAGCCACCTTGGTCTCCTCCTGGGCGTACCGGCGAGGCTGTAGAGCAAAGACCAGGGAGCACTGAGACAGGAAGGCTCTGCAGGAGTTGGGGTTCCCATCATAGGGAGGTGGGTTGTTAGCATGAGGCTCAGGGTCATGGCGGCGAGAGACAAAACCAGCTGTGTCCTCCCTGCGAAGTTCATGGAGCTGGGCAGACAGATCAGACAACTGAGCGTTTAGGAACTCGACCTCCCGGGACATGGAGGATAGCTGGGAGGCATGCTGGCCCAAGAGAATGCCCTGCTGGGTAACTGCTGATCTGAGGGGATCTGCGCCTGCTGAGTCCATAACTGGTCAGATCTTTCTGTCAATGCGAGACGTGGACTCAGTTTGCAGGTGCCAAAAGTCAATTTATTGAACAGTCTTGAATTTTAATAAACATACATAACATGCATAACAAATAAACATTAATTTTTTGAAAAAATAAAGTGCAAAAATGGCAAAACAATTAATTTAAGTGTCAGCAATAGAGGTTGACCGATAAGGGTTTTTCTCTGGCCGATGCCGATATTTAGAAATCAGGGCAGCCGATGGTCGATATATGATGCTGATTTTTTGGGCCGATATGTTTGGCCGATTTATTTATTTATTTTTTCCTTTATCTCATAAAAGTGAGTTTGAGTAAATGTCAGTGCGAGACGTGGACTCAGTTTGCAGGTGCCAAAAGTCAATTTATTGAACAGTCTTGAAGTTCAAAAAAGGGAAAAAAGAAACAAAAACCAATCCAGGCACAGGGCAGCCAGGAACAGGTCCAATAGTGCCTCCTGGATGACGAACTCCAATGGGAAAATCCACCCAAGCAAGACCGATACAAACTGACAGGGAGGCGGGGCGCTGTTGAGGCGGGGAGCTGGGGGCACACTGGCGGAGAGGCGAGGAAGAGCTGAGACAGCGGAAACAGCGATCGGAGATCGTGAGCGTTGTCACTACTTGATCCGTACCGGAACGATCCGTACCGGAAATAGTCCTTTACTAGTGATTCTCTTGATATAAATACACATTTTTTTAAATAAAATATATCGATTAAATTTGCACAAATTAAATAAATTCAGTAAAATTAAATAAAAAAAATAGTTTACATTTGCTAGACTCTATTTGGGCAATACAGATACAGATGAGAATATAAGTGTGTTTTACATTTAATTATTAATTTTCTAAAGATATGTTTGACTTATTTCAGCATACTTTAACAAATGTCTGCATCCAAGAAACACAAATTTTTTTTCTCAAATTATTTATTCATAAATGAATTCATTCATTCATTAATTCCCTCTCTCCCTCATCTACTACAATTGCTGATTGAGGAACATGGCATTGACCTTCAGGCCTTGTTTATCAACACAGTAGGACAAAAATGTTTCCATGTCATCTTGAGACTGAAATATAAACAAAAAGTCCTCCTTTGCTTCAGGGAATTCACTCCCCAGGGTCTTCCTGAGTGCATTTTGTTGACTTTCACTGTTCATCTGCAGAAAAGCAGGCTCTGTCACCTCTCCACGGAAAGAGTCTCTGTGATTGTTTACCCAATACCAAGCTGTATGAAGGTCTCTCACGATGGTAGGCTGTTGCACCTGAATATACAAATATATAATGGCACAAACAAATTAAACTATTTATCCAACTTGCATGCAACTCTGTGATATATGACCAATAAAATAAATTTACCTTATCAGTGTCCTCTTCAGCCACAACTCTTCTGCTGGGTGACTGTTTGGTGGTGGTGGATTTTGACACCCTAAAGACAGGCTCAAGGGTTCCCTGAAGGAGTTGGGATGCTTCTTCTGTCCAGTGTGCAAATCTCTGTCCATGCCTTTGTAAAATATGTAAATGTATATGCACTCTATTTGTATAACACTTTTCTAGTATAATTTTGCCAACAGTGACTTAATACAGCTGAGATACTGAAATTGTGTCTGTAGAGTCTGTCATACCCTTCAAGGCAAAACCTCTCCATCAACTGAATGCACCACCACTGGCGAATCAATGGCACCTCCTCCTAAAAGAATGCAAAACAAAAATAAAAACAAACAAAAAAAGCCACATAAAAGTAGTTTGGTATATTTTTGTGGAAATATAGCTTACCTCTGTGAATGTTAGTGGGCATGATGTACAGGTGCTGAGAGCATACTGTGAAATACAAATAACACTGTACGACTTTGATTTTATTATTTAACAGCTTTGACAAATGAAACATTCTTACCATCAGCATGTAGATGCCACAGGAATTCCCTGTACACTGTTGAGGAAAACACTGGAAAAGGAAATGTGCATCCAGTTAGTTTTAAAAACAACTGATGGCTTGTTTAAACATATCCTAATCCTTTTAGGATAATTTCGACCCGAAAATTATTTTAGTTTATTTTTTAAAACCAAGCATTGATCATTATGGTATGAGACTTAATGACTTTTGTCAGACTTGAATTGGGAACACGCTCACAAAAAAATACGCAGTTTGGATACGCAGTTTCTGTGGTTGTAATGATAATAAAAAAAGTTACAAATCCTTCCCTCACGGGTCAATTTGACTGGATAGGAATGAATGAAGTTTCCGAAAAACTTTTTTTACTACATTAGATTTTTTTTTTTAATAATGAAGTTTCCAAAAAACTTTACTAAATTAAATTTTACAAAAAAAAAAATACATATATGTGACCCTGGAGCACAAAAGCAGTCATAAGTAGCACAGGTATATTTGTAGAAATTGCCAACAATACATTTTATGGGTCATATTGATAGATTTCTCTTTTATGCCAAAAATCATTAGGATATCAAGACACTCAAACACATTATAACATGAATGATGTTATTGCTAGGAAATCACTGTCATTTTGACTTAAGTTAAATTTGAGTTCAAATTTGAGTGCTGTGGTGGAGACCAATGAGTTTATAGCGTATTTATAGCTTTAAATATACATTTTATATTACATATTTATGAAATTGTATGAATATACATGTTGATTAAAATTCAGTTTGAAAAGTTAAAAAGAATTTTTTGCAAAATATATTTATATATATATTAAATATAAAATATATATTTTTTTATGTTTAAATGTATCTGACTGCATAAAAAAAGCAAATTCAAATTAGTTTACGTTTCACTTGTTTTGCTCAGTTAAGAATCTCCATAGGATCATATAGGCCCCTCTAGGGGCAGTACCATAAAATGCTATTTTGTCTTTTTTTTTCTTCACAAGATGGAAAGAGTTTAAATTAGCTTTACACAATTCCATCATTTTAAACATACCTCAAGGTCTCTTCCTGTTTTTTTCAGTCCAGGATCCTGGGTCAGTTTTGCAAAATATATTTATATATATATTAAATATAAAATATATATTTTTTTATGTTTAAATGTATCTGACTGCATAAAAAAAGCAAATTCAAATTAGTTTACGTTTCACTTGTTTTGCTCAGTTAAGAATCTCCATAGGATCATATAGGCCCCTCTAGGGGCAGTACCATAAAATGCTATTTTGTCTTTTTTTTTCTTCACAAGATGGAAAGAGTTTAAATTAGCTTTACACAATTCCATCATTTTAAACATACCTCAAGGTCTCTTCCTGTTTTTTTCAGTCCAGGATCCTGGGTCAGTGAAGGTTGCAATGTGTCTGGCATTCCAAAGAAAACACAAAATACATCATGTGTAATTGCATGATCAGTTCTGTAGCCTGAGAACGAGACTCTGATGAACTTGAAGCCTAAGAATGAGACTTGAATATGAACTTGATGCCTAAGAACAAGGCACTTAAACGAACTTGAAGCCTGAGAACAAGGCTCCTTTTGGAAATTGTAACCAAATAACAGGCCTGGAACAAGGCCAGTAAATTAATTATCTTTAGTCTCAACCTAAATATGGTTCTGTAGGTCTCATCTCCAAAACCATCAGGGCGAAGAGAAGAAAAAGTATCTCCCTCTTAGCTACAAACAAAACCTGCAATCAATGGGTATTTTGTTAATATCCACGAAAATTGAACTCACTAACCCTACCTGTTGAATTTGGAAATATTACAACTAGAAAGATTAATAGAAACTTAACACAGAGCAGATAGTGATCAGCTTCATCCGCCTGCCTGCTCCAAGCTGGAAATAGTATGATATCCTTGGACCTCACATTTCCCTAATAGTATTGTGACAAAATAATATGCATGCGCAAAAACAACATATACTTTTGTGCCTATTCCCAATAGAACTCTTTCTCGGTTGATAAGTACATGATAGCAATAAAAAAAACCAAAACAAAAAAAAAAAACCTTACAGGCAAACAATGCACTAGGTCCACATTTTTGTCTTTCCAGGTGGGAACAGCATAGAAGTCCACAATGTGAACATTTTTTCCCTTATGGAAACATAAGTTATTAAACATGCATACATCCAAATTAATACTTCTAAAAGAAGATAATAGTATAAAGTACATGTCTTCGTGTAGCTTCTTCCACAATCTTGAGGCAGGCATTTCCGATCTGAAATGTATTGCAGAACGATTACATCCCTGTGAAAGCTGCTATGTGTAACATTATGCATTATCTAGGAATTGTTTTTTTTGTGCAGTAAATTAAGACACTAAACATACGCACATTAGATTCCATGCACTGGTTTAAACCCAGGCTCCAGAAGTCTTCTCGTGTGAGGCAAATTTGGCCTTGCTTTATGATCAGTTCTTCTGATGGCCGATTTTTGTCCAACACATACTTTAACTAAAAATAAAGAACGTTTAACAGATTAAGTAATGATTATAATTTAAATATGCAAAGTGTCACTAAATAAACACAATACTTACCAATTCATCTTGAATAGGGTCCAAGTCCTTCTCCCACCTTGCACCTGAACAAGCATATGGATGCTCTACCTGCCATTTGGATGTTGAGTAGCAGTGGTCCTGGAGAAACATCCTCTCAGTTGGTCCATCTGATGATACACAAATACGAGACAATGGACTATATGCATGGCGCATTCTTTAGAACTTCTGTATATAGATAAGCCAGCTCGAAAACTTCCAGTGAAACGTCATTTGACGCTGTGGTATACATGTAGATACTCTTGAGACCCTCAAAGAAACCTCTCCTGCCTCATTCTTGTCAGAAATTGAGAAACAAAATAACTGCAATAATAAATAATGACAGCAGCATTATCTTACAGCTTCATGTTATTTAATAACACTTAACAACATAATTTTATATGCTGATCCTGGTAATCCCAGAAGAGTACCTAGACACGTAATTGTACATTTAAATGCTAACAAGTACACACTATCATAACTGTTTAGGCTAACGTTGGCTTGCTAGTGATGTTATCTCAAACAACATTGTAATGGTATTTACAATGTCACCAATAACCTAGAAGGATTATTTATTTAAATACTTAACTAGTTAAGGACAAATTAATTCAGTTCATTATTCATGGTATAACAATTAAATACTACAAAACTAAATTTTTTTAAGTTTTATCTTTAACTGTAGAAGCTGCTCAATATATTCAGCCAACACAGACTTGTTGCAAGCTGTAGTTTTGTTACTCTGAATCACTTAATGCTGTTTTGACATCGGCTTCGCAGATGTTTTGTTCCATCCATCGCTACAGTTATCACTGTCAATCATAGTAATGACTCAACAACACTTCTCCCCTTGCTCATTTATGACCCCCTTCCTCCCTCTCCCCTCCCTGCCTCTGACTCTACCCTCTTCTCCCCCAAAAGCAAGAATATCCACATGCCACATGTATTATATCTTGTGAATATGTTGTTTCCCTTTCATGTTCGATGTCATTTTAAAGGTCTCTGTGCGATTGGTAAAATGGTCTAAATTTCACAGTAAGTCAAGTCAAGTCTGCTGCGGCAGTGACTTTTCTGAAATTACTCCTGCGGGAGTATCTCAGGACTGGAGGTTTGAGTGCGTAGCTGGAGTACACCCCGCTGCACATCCGTGCCATGGAGCCCTATGAAGTCAAAATACCAAGGGGCCCCTAGATGTCATGGGTGGGGCAGGGTGCCCTCGGCCCTGAAGGGAAATGGGCCACGGACGTCCAAAGCGAACCCCCCCCGCCCCGCCGCAGAAAGAGGGAGCCCGCGGTGTATATATAAACGCAGAGCTACCATCCCTCTGATGTGAGGGTTTGGACCACGTCGGAAAGGGGGAGCCCCCACTGCGCCCGAACAGAAAGCTCACACTGCGATTCGACCGGGAGAGCTCCCACGCATTTGAAGGAGAGAGCTCCCTATAGGTATCAAAGGAGATCTCATTCGCAATCAAAACGGGAGAGCCTGGACAGCATCTGGATGGGGGAGCCCACACGGCGATTCGAATGGGAGAGCCCACTCCAGGAGTGGTAGCTCGCGCCGATTCGAAAAGTGGGAGCTCTCACTGCATCCAGATGAATAGGAGCCCTGCAGGACTATGTAAGCAGGAATGTGCGGAATAGTAGGGGGGAAGCGGTCCAGACTCAGAAAGATGCTAGTGTTTGTTTCGTCTATTGGAATTAGACTATTAATACTCAGATGGAAATTTCCGTGAGGAGCAGAGAGATCAATGATAAGTCGCTTTTTGCCAGAAAATGTTCTGGTGGCTAATCCGATAGGACTTATATGAAATAATTCAAAAGGTGGAGAATTGAAAGGGCCAATCATGAATCCAAAATCTAATTCTTTTTTGATGAGGGCTTCGACTGTGTTGGGTTCAGCTGTCGCAGATTGCAAGTGCGTGGGCTCCACCACAGAAATTGCAGATGTGGAGGAAGCGGCATCGTTGTCTGATGCAGCCTGAAGTATTAAAACTATTACAGACTTGTCTGCCTGAAACTGAAGTGAAGATCTGGTCGCAATTGCTTCTTGAGCGAGGGGTGTATGAAGTGGATTTTGGAGCTTGAGACGTCACTGGATTGGTTGGAGGATCGGGGTTGGTTAGGGGACATTCTGAGGTTGAATGAACAATGGACTTGCAGATGGTGCAAGAGAGGCTTCGAACTCCTAAGAAAACTCGCTTGTTCAGTTCGAGGTCTAGGACTCCCCAATATAGACACTGGTTCCAGTGGGTGACACGGGCTGAGCATTTGGCTGAAAACAGCTTATGGTAGGTATAAAAATGACTACCTCCGAATGAGAGACTGAGCTCCGCTATGATGGAGAGGTAGTCATTTAGTTCCCTGCGTCTTTTAGGAAATGAAGCGCAAATAACTTCTGTGTATCTACCAAAGGCTATGCAGAATTCTGCCAGTGTGAGAACACGTTTTGATTGAGGTATGGAATTTTTTAGATTGATGGTTAAAGGGCCAAAGTCAAAAGAGCGCTGGGATTCATTGATGGGAACTGAAGTTAGCAGAGAAGGAAGATCAATATCTGCACCTGATAAAATTAGGGAACGGAGGTGGGTTGAGACTGGAGGTGGTTCCATAGCGACTGCATTGGGAGGAGCTGGAAGAGGGACTGCTGTGGCGAGAGAATGAACTGGCAAGTGAATTGAGCCTGAAGAAGAAGATAGATGCTGGGCAGGGGGCCCTAGTACTGACTGGTATCCGAGAGATGGCTAGGAGGAGCTGAAGCGAGAGGAGGGGGAGGGTTAGCAGGCAAAAGGGGGGAAGGGATCCTTTGTGGAGGCAACCTCACACTAGGGACTGAGCCAGGGGGAATGTTAGGAGAAATTTGAGGCACAGAAGGGAAGAAAAGGGGATGAGAAGAAGTAGCGTTAAAGGATAGAGGAGGGGGGGGATCGCTAGCGAAGGCAGCCTCACGCTAGGATCCGCTCTCTGAGAAGGGGGTGAAAAAAAGGTTACCGTCTGTGAAGATGTTGCGCATGGGTTATCAAG